GTGGTATAAAGTTTAGATAACGTGTTTGACTTGAACTTTTTTCAGTTTTAGAAGACAAAGATAGTGTTAAGGGTTTATGATCTGTGAAAACGGTAAACTGATAACCTTGTAAAAACTGACGAAAATATTTAATTGCAGAAGAGATAGCTAATATGTATAATTCACGATCTTAAGTGGAGTATTGAGTTTGTACAGGAAAAAGTTTTTTGAAAAAAATGCGTTGGGTTGTGAAACATTGTTTATGGTTTGTTCTAAAGCTACTCCACTTGAAGAATTGGATGCGTCAGTAGTTAAAGATAAACTAGCAGAGAAAGAAGGATGAGCATAAAATAGTAGCATTGGCTAGAAAAGTTTTGGCTTTTTGAAAACTGTCTTGACATTCATCCGTCCAAGAAGTAATGTTCTTTTGCTTAAGATTTTGAGGAGGTGTTGAAAGAGTGTGAAGAGGAATAAGAAGTTCTGAAAAATGAGGAATAAAATGGTAATCTGTGGTAAAAATTTATCATGCCAAAAAATCTTTGTAATTGTTTCAACGTTTTAGGTATAGGAAACTCATTAATATTAGAAACTCTTTTGTCTGAAGAAACGATGCCTCTGGAAGAAATAGTGTCACCTAGCAAATTTATGACTAACTCCAAATTCACATTTTGAGGGTTTAATACTGATACCAAATTTGTTTAGGCGCTCAAATAATTGTTTAAGATGATCTAAATGTTCGTTTTCATTTTTGCTTGCGACTAAAATATCATCAAGATAAATGAAAATAAAATTTAAGCCACAAATTACTTCGTTAATAAATCTTTGAAATGTTTGTGCAGCATGTGAGTATCTTCATCTCCAACAGGAATCGGGTGATATGCACGAGCTAAATCAATTCTAGAGAAAATCCATGGATTTGTAAATTAAAATCTTGAATATGTGGAAGAGGGTATCTTCTATCTGGCACAGTAATTAAATTAAGTTGTCTATAGTCACCACAAGGACGCCAATCAGAAGTGTCTCTTTTAGGAACCATGTGAAGAGCAGAAGCAACAGGAGATGAGGATGGTGGGCAAACATCATAAGCCATCAGCTGTTTAAATTCTGACTTGACGATTTTGTACTTATTGAAATCTAAAAACAACGGGGTCGAAAGAATGGAAGATGTCACATTGGTAACAATGTGATATCGTACAGTATGTTGAACAGGTGAGGAAAAATTGGAAGTTGTTTTGTTTCAACTTCAAAAAGTTTTGGTGAAGGAATATTGGAGTAGGAAATAGAACCAATTGAAACAAGTTTCGTTCTGGTATCAATTAGTTGATTTTTAATGTCAACTAAAATGCCAAAATGTGACAAAAAATCAGCTCGAGAAACATCTGCTATGGAAAATACAAGAGCAAAGTCTCGCCTAAGATTTAAATTAACTTTTAATAATTTTTTTCCATAAGTTGATATTGACGAACCATTTGGGGAGGTTAAGAAAAAACCTTTATCTTTTTTAACGCCCGTAAAATGATTTCCCAGAATTACGGAAATATCAGTACCAGTATCAATTCAAAAGTTAAATTTATTTGAGTGGTCGAAAATAAAAAGGCGGAAATTTTTAACAGATGATAAATTTCTGTTATTTGATGTTTAAACATTCGTTTTCTTGATTTTCTTCATTCTGTTTTGAATTAAATGCGTTATAAAAATAGCACCACGAACCTTCATATTTTAAAGCTCTGTCTTGGAAATTATTGTGATAATAACAAATATTTGATTTTGATGAAAATTTTGATTGGGAAGATGAATGTCGTGGAGATGGGGAACGACCTATGTTTCGATTTCGACAATTTGGTTTAGACTGATTAGAATATTGTACGTTATACTCTTTATTTTGAGATTTTATATTTAATTGTTCATCTGTCAATCTCTTAAAGAAATGTTCACAATTATTTGTAAAATCGGAAAATATTTTTATTAACTCGTGAGGATTAAGGTGAAGGTTCAGTCGAAAATGAAGTAGAAGGTGATGAACCTCAAAAATTTTATTCGTAGAATAATTCTGATGACAAGTCTTCCAGATCTTATCTGCTGTTGTTTATACTTCATTAACATCCTCTTTTCCAGATGCAGTCAACGCAATATTTATACTAGGTGGAAGACGTCTTTTCCACAATTTTGAAAGAAGGTCTTGACTAACCACCTGGGTGCCTCCAACAAATGTTGAGATTCCTCTATAAAGTCGGAAGGTTTTTGGTCACCCATAGCAGTATCAGAAAGTAAATGACCAAGTCGTTTCTCTTCACTGCTTGATAGTCGAATAATTAAAATATTTTTGAACCTCATTCAATAAATTCATTGGAGAAAACGTGTCTCTCTTTAGCCTATTCCCTAGCCTATATTCTCTTTTTCTTCCGGCGTTTTATTGTTAAAGCTAAAATAATAGCTACACAAGCGTTTTGACGGTATGACATCTTTGACTGCCGACGTAAAAGTAAGTAGATTGTCAATAAATATTGATAGTCTCAGGCAATTACAGTTTGTCAATACTTATTGCCCATATTGACAATATACACAGGTTTCAAAAGAAATGAACCACCCCGAAGAAGGAGACGCAGAACTTCAAAATTACGTAGAAACGGTTAATGCCTAGAAACAAACAAATGATTAAATTTTCATAAACAAATGACAATATTTATTGACAATACCGTTAATAATGTGTTGATTCCGCGTACTATTATACATTCAGTAACCCTTCGTGGCATGCTGGAAATCAGATGGTCGATTTCCTCTTGGGGCAGCTCATTCCAAGCTACCTGTAGCTGTTGACGTAATTCCTCTAATGTGTTGACAGGATTGGGTAATCGACGCATTTTTCTGTCCATCATATCCCAGACATGTTCAATAGGGTTTAAGTCTGGTGATCTTGCCGGCCAAGGCAATTGCAGAACATTGTTTTGTGCTAGGAACTCTAACGTTACGTGAGCAATATGAGGTCGCGCATTATCGTGTTGGAAGACGGGCTCTGGAAGGTCTTGGAGGAAAGGCGCGCGTTTAGGGTGTCCTGAATGAATGTCAAAGGAGACCTGCCACCGTAGCGTATTGCTCCCCACAACATTACACCAGGAGTTTGAGCCGTGTGGCGACGCTGAACAAACTGTAAATTTTGCCTCTGACCTCTAGGTCGTCTGATCCGTAAACGTCCGTCAGAATTCCATAAGCAAAATCGGGATTCGTCGCTGAACACTGCAGTCTGGCATCTTTATGTTGTTGAGTCATAGGAAGACAAAAATAAGGACGATATGAACGTAACCCAAATGTGCGTACTCGACGATAAATCGTCCTCATGCTCGACCAATTGCTCGTACCCAATTAATTGCAACAGCACGCGTTGGTTCTACTGGGTCTTGTATTGCGCTTCGCCTTAACAGCCGATCTTCACGTGCTGCTGTCACTCTAGGACGTCCACTGCCTCTAAGACGGGTTTCTAAGCGTTCTTCCTGCCAATCCATCCAAGTCCGTCTGATAGTGGCGTGAGGTCGACCCATGCGTCTGCCAATTTCCCGAAAGCTTAAAGTTTAATTCGTCCTCTTTCGAAGGGATTAAGATGGCGAAAATTTGCACGTCTTCGAACTCGTGGCATTTTTGAGACACTCATTTTACTAGCAATGACAACAATCACAAACAAACGGCGAACTACTCCGAAAAATACTATTCAACAACACGCAATTTCAGGACCTAACAGACAGATAATTTCTATCAGCTGTGGCAGATGATCGTCAAAATTTAATCATTTGTTTGTCTAGATGGACTAACTGATTCTACATAATTTCAAATCAAAGTTCTTCGCCTACTCTTACGGGGTGGTTTATTTCTTTTGAAAAGCAGAATATATTTATTGATCGTGTGAAGGGCGGTTTAATTACCTTTTTTTTTTGACAAAAGATCAAAATTTATAAAATTTTACTTTTTGAGGAAAAGCATACCTGAGTAATGAAAGCTTCTTCGGTAATTAATTAATTGGTAAATGATTACGATTATATTATCTAAAATAATTTAATAATAAAATTAGGTAATGCTACACGGGTATTTGAAAAAAAATAAATCCCCAGCGCGTGTCTTTAAGTAATAATTAACAACGCTCGTCTTGCTGGGTTAAAATGTTACAGGCTAATTTACGTACAACTTGCTAAACTGTCTAAATTTATTGTTCCTATCTTTACTTTGAAGTAATTCTAACAAGTAAATCTTTTATTTTTTTAAGTCTATTTATTTATTGTGTATTCTTTTATTTGCTGTTTTTATATTTGTTTTAGATCCTAATACAAAAACTTTACACAAAGGAAACTAACACCTCTCCCCAGTTTTGAACATATGTGGTGTACTGAATTGAAACATGTCACAGCTTCCCATTAATACCTATTGTGCTTTAAAGTATAGTACGAGCAGATGGTTTACTTTTATTTCATTGTAGACCTGTCAATCACAAATCAATCACAATAATTTTAAGTTGAAGAATGCAGTAAAACCCAATATTATTTCTTTTATACCACCGAGTTGCGAACATGCGGACTCAAAAAATACATTGTTGATAAAAGAATCATTCTTTATTATTATTGTAATTTTTGAAGCCAAAAATTATAAAAAATAAACGCCCCCGGGTGGGCTCGAACCACCAACCTTTCGGTTAACAGCCGAACGCGCTAACCAATTGCGCCACGGAGGCGATGAAATATATAGTCGATTATGCCCAGTTACGATTACATAGAGTAAATTTTATCAAAAGTAAATGTTCTTATCAAAAAAGATAATAAATAAATGTGAAATTGTTATTTTAAATGGAAAAACAATAAGGATAAATTTAAAACAAATTTAATTGATTATAATAACTGAAAATGAAAATATGTGAGATTTGGCAACACCGTTAAGATGTTGAGGCCACTGTACCATTCTTGCAGCTCTTCTCCTAAACCCAACCGGATTAACACAAGAGAGTTCTACCTGTGTCGGTGAAATAAAATAATACAGTAAGTCTCAGACCTTGAACCCACAATCGTGAAGCTAAAAAGTTACGTTAAAACCACAAATTTAAGAAATACTTTAAAAATTTTCAATAACTTAATTGAGATCGTCTCATTAGATTATTTAAAAACCAAGTGCCTCTCGAGTTTCGTGTCATTGGTGAGTTCTTACTTTTAATAGTAGGGGGATACCTTTTATAAACATTGACATGCGCAAAACGAGCAAATTGTATACATAAATTTAAACGTATAAGAGATTGGTGGAAATGAATGAAATATAAAGGAAATAAAGAAATAAATCTTTCGAATTGAAATTTGTGATTGATGACTGTTGATGTTGGTTCAATTTTTCTAGATTACCAAAAGATGGGGTCCACAGTTGGAGGGTTAGGCACAGCGGGTTTACCGGCGGATAAAGCCCTTGCTGGTGTTCCAAGACTCCTTGATGACCTTCAAAGACTTTTTGAGGACACCGATTCAGCTGATGTCATTTTCATTTTAGGTAGAGAGGAGGAACGTGTCTTTGCACACCGTGTTATTTTAATTGCAAGGTTTGTAAATATCATAATAATGCAGTAAAACTTCTATATAACGGACTAATACGCGGAAACAAGTGTCTAAAGTCCGTTATAAGAAAAATTATTAGTCGTAGATTTTAGCAGTGCGTCTCTTAAGACTGCTAAACCCGAATGTTTCTAGGTCTAGAGTTAGTTTCATTTTTAGTTCAATAAAAAAATTCAACAATCTAGCGCTGAATAACAACTAAAACTACAACTAACACTAGTATTAGAACTAATACTAGACCTAGAACTAGAAACATTCGAGTTTAGCTATACGTTTCTTAAGACGGTGTGGCGTTGCACATATTCCCAGTCATATTGATTTCAATATCTTTTTTAAAAAATCAAGAAATCTTTTATTTTTTCTTTTTTACGTAACTATGTATTTAAAATTTTTTTATTTAATTAATCATTAAACTGAATAAAGTCCCTAGATTATCAAAGTACCGCGGTTTGTGAAGCCTGTGTATTCGAAATATTCGAGCCAAAATGGCGGTTTGACAGCTTGTCAGTACCAAGGTTTGTAAAGCGTATTGGTACAATACGCTTTACAAACCTTGGTCAGTACATGTTACCACTTATTTACAAAGATAATGCCGGCTTTCGACTTTTCGGAGTACCACGAGAAAAAGAAGGAAGGAAATTTGGCGTAATTTTATCAACAGAATGACGTAATTTTAAATTTCCCGCTTGACTTTCGAGCCAAAATGGCGGCAAACCGCGGTACTTTGATGATCTAAGGACTTTAAAACTGAACTACAATAAGCACCATCTGTTGAGGTGTTCTCCGCTAAGGGAAACTTTTAGCGGGTACTTATTGTATTGTAAATTTTTTTAGAATTCCATTTTTTACAGGAAAGACATTGAATTACTAATGATTTAACAGATTCTGAAAAAAATGTAGAGGAAGATGATGAAATAGACGTTGAAGACGAGGAATATAATACTTATTTCCTTATCTTGTAAATGTTATAAATAAGTTTAGTGTATAGATAATCGACTCTGCATTCTTGAAGTACTTGCAAAACTGCCATCAACTCAATTTAAATCAAATTTTATAAATACTTCTAAATACCAATCTTGGGTAAATACCCCCGAGTATATATCCAGAGTATTTCAGTACTCGGGTATTTAACAACACTGACTAAAATAATACAATTTAATGGCAAATGTAGAGTTGGTACTTTGGTACACTGGCAGGTTTTAAGTATGCATTTGTTGCTCTATCACTGCTTTGGAAATTCCTATGACAAACACGGTCCGATCTATAGATTATATCCAGTGAAAGATCTGTACGTTTTGAATTTCCACATTTTTAAATCCACCCCTTACACAGATTCTCTTTCTTTTGTTGTGTCACAGGTTGTGTTCGTTCATCCAAAAACGGCACAGGCGCGAGTCCTGAATGAGTGTATTCCATTCATTCTAAAAGTTAAATTAATTGCTAAGCTTGAAAGTTAGTTATGTTTATTATTTCTTTTTATTTGCAAAGTCAAATTCAAATGTCAAATATATACATATACGTGTATGTGTGCGTGTTTTCAAGACGTCAGCGACATCTAGCGAATTGTTCTCCTTAAAAATACGACGGTTTTGTTTTGCCTATAGTTCGTTTTTTTTCTATAATACTAAATGTAAATGTACATTTTTTAGGGTTTCTGTTGGTATTATCTAGGACCCTTATAAAATTTATGTTGTTTTCCTGATTTTTAGTAACATTTTCAGTAACTAAATAATTGAGGTTAAAATACTAATAAATTTTTAGATAAATACGATTTTAACCAAGTACATATTTGTTGTAAAAACGTGCTACATAGTAATTNTTATTTACAAAAATAATGCCGTCTTGTTACCTTTAGAGTTGCAAAAATAACAGTAAGTTGGGCTTTCGACTTTTCGGAGTACCACGAGAAAAAGAAGGAAGGAAATTTGGCGTAATTTTATCAACAGAATGACGTAATTTTAAATTTCCCGCTTGATTTTCGAGCCAAAATGGCGGCAAACCGAGGTACTTTGATGATCTAAGGACTTTAAAACTGAACTACCATAAGCACCATCTGTTGAGGTGTTCTCCGCTAAGGAAAACTTTTAGCGGGTATTTATTGTATTGTAAATTTTTTTAGAATTCCATTTTTTACAGGAAAGACATTGAATTACTAATGATAATATGTATTTCAATGTCTTTTGTGTGATACAAAAAATGTAGAAGAAGATGATGAAATAGACGTTGCAGACGAGGAATATAATACTTATTTCCTTATCTTGTAAATGTTATAAATAAGTTTGGTGTATAGATAATCGACTCTGCATTCTTGAAGTACTTGCAAAACTGCCATCAACTCAATTTAAATCAAATTTTATAAATATTTCTAAATACCAATCTTGGGTAAATACCCTCGAGTATATATCCAGAGTATTTTCCCTTGAAAATAAATACCCGGCTATTTAACAACACTGACTAAAATACACACAATTTAATGGCAAATGTAGAGTTGGTACACTAACAGGTTTTAAGTATGCATTTGTTGCTTGTGTTGCTCTATTACTGCTTTGGAAATGCCTATGAAAAAAACGCGGTCCGATCTATAGATTATATTAGGTGAAAGATCTGTAAGTTTTGAATTTCCACATTTTTAAATCCACTCCTTACACAGATACTCACAGGCGCGAGTCCTGAATGCGTGTTAAATTAATTGCTAAGCTTGAAAGTTAGTTATGTTTATTATTTCTTATTATTTGCAAAGTCAAATTCAAATGTCGAATATATACATATACTTGTATGTGTGCGTGTTTTCAAGAGTTCGGCGACATCTAGCGAATTGTTCTCCTTAAAAATACGACGGTTTTGTTTTGCCTATATTGGTGGCCACACCAGATTAGACCATAGAAAAATTTATATACCTATATTATGTATATAGAAGGTCATCTCCCCACTATTTTTTGGTACAAGCGCTCCCAAGGGGATTGTGAGGGAACTAATTAGGTTAAAGCGCAAAATTTAAATATAGGTATTTTTATACTGGTTTATACCATTACTTTATTTTGAAGAGGTCAAATGCATTTTCCAAATAAATAGGAAAAAATATGAATTGAATATGACAGTTTTTCCAAGATAATATTCATAATTTTAACGTATATTGCTTTCATTGGCTAAGGGCCGGTTTATCAATGTCAAGTTAAATCTGTTAGATACGCAACTCATGGATAAACTTGCCTAACAGATAACCTCAGTAAACCGTTTATCCAGCAATTTTCTACCCGACAGGTAGCAACCTACAAGATAGAACATAGATGGTACCCCTGAATGTTAACACTAGAAACGAAAATGAAACGTAATTGGTGAAATTTGAATAATTGACTTTAGTTTGTGAAGTTGATATAAACAGCTGATCGTGTTTTGGAGGTTATCATTCCCGTGTGCTTTCGGTATTGTGCTTTGTTTTTGAAAACCTCTTTTATAATGGAATTCCTACATAAATATTTATTAGACAGCGATAAAGANTTTCTGTTGGTATTATCTAGGACCCTTATAAAATTTATGTTGTTTTCCTGATTTTTAGTAACATTTTCAGTAACTAAATAATTGAGGTTAAAATACTAATAAATTTTTAGATAAATACGATTTTAACCAAGTACATATTTGTTGTAAAAACGTGCTACATAGTAATTAAATAGAACAAAACACGTTTTGTAGGTAAATAAATGCCAAATACACACCCCACAACATTTTTTTATGCACGTTTTCTTTTTGAATAACGAAAGCTTAAACGTCAGTGTGACATATTTATTTCAAAACATCATACAACAAAACTCCCTGCTAGTTTTGCCAACTTTACAACAATTTGACAGGTATTATAGAAAAAAAATGAACTATATATTAGTGCCCATACCAGATTAGACCTAAAGTCCCTAGATTTACAAAGTACCGCGGTTTGACGCCATTTTGGCTCGAAAGTCAAGCGGGAAATTTAAAACTATATCGTTCTATTGATAACATTGCGCCAAATTTCCTTTCTTTTTTTCTCGTGGTACTCTGAAGAGTCGAAAGTCCTTCTTACTGCCATTTTTGCAACTCCAAAGGCAACAAGACAGCAATATTTTTGTAAATAAGTGGTGAGATGCAGTGACAAGCTGTCAAACCGTCATTTTGGCTCAAAGACAGGCTTCACGAACCGCGGTACTTTGTAAATCTAGGGACTTTAATTAGACCATAGAAAAATTTATATACAGGGTGATTCACATAAGAACCGACACAGAGCAGGGACATGTACAGGACAATTAAGATTATTTACCGCAACTTATTTCTATACTAAGTTGTACCCCTAAGGAGTTATAGGCTTTGAAAGTTAGGTCTTAAATTTTTAAAACATTCAATATCTTCGTAATACATTAAGCTAGAAAAACCAAATTTGATATACGTTATGAGTGTACCGAGGGTATTAATTGGTAGCAAGTTGAGACCAATTGAGACATTTCAAAGGGTTGATTAAGGGTGATGCTCTCCTAGATTTTTTTAATTTTTGGTGGATTTAATACATTATTACCTCATTTCATGTGGAAATTAATTCTAAAACTTTTTTTTCTCTTATTATTTTTTAAAAAACATTGTCGTTTTCATAAAAAACTCAAATAACTAAAGATACGTATTTCGTTAATGCTACTTAAAATCATGGAAAATTCAGTAGTCGGCTGTGAAATTGCACGTCAAATTTGACAACTAGGTTATAAAACCTTGTCGTGAAATAACTTTATAACCTATTTGTCAAGTTTTACGTACAATTTCATAGCCCACTACTGAATTTTCGCTTATTTTAAGTAACATTACGAAATACGTATCTTTAGTTAGTAAGTTTTTTATGAAAACGACAAAGTTTTTTAAAAAATATTAAGAGTAAGAAAAGTTTTAGAATTAAATTCCACATGAAATGAAGTAGTAATGTACTAAATCCGCCAAAAGGTTAAAAAAATCTGTCAAAATTTAGGTACCATCA